CACCAAACTTGCCTTATATTACCCTCCTTGTCTGTTATCAAGTGATCTGTACAACAGTAGTAACAACAGTTCCTGGAATCAAGACTGTGTCAATGAAAAGCAGAATGGGCAAGTAAGGCTACAGCAATGTAAGTGCAGGAGGGAAACATAACAGCAACAGTAAAATCAAAACATGTTGTCCAATCTTGACATGAGTCCACTCTTCTCTCAGTCTAGGTTGGTAGAGGGTCATCATCTCCTTTATTACATTTGCACTTGCAGCACAGAACAAATGGTGTAGCAAGTAGAAGGAAAGGGGAAGCCACCAAAAGTAGAAGACCAAATCCTGCAAAAATGCCTACCACCTGTAAGAGAAAGGGATAGCATTGTGTCAGGGATAGCATTGCCTAGATTCTGTGTCTGCTACATCATTGCATCATCTGTATTCATCAAAAAAACCTCAGCAAATGCCACTGACCTTATCAAAGCCAGAACTACCACGTGTATGACTGACTCCCCACAGTCAGCTGTTGTGACCAGAAAATGCCAGTGAAAGTAGTATGAATGTTCATGTCTTATGGTTCCTGTCAGAACTGTGCCAAAGAATTCTGTTTTATCACACAAGGTGATGCAGATGGCTATTTGCCTTTTTGAATCTTCTTATATCTCAAACAACTAAGGAAGCAAATCACTACTTCTTTTGTTGATCAAACCTAAATACTAAATATTGAAATCAAGGCTACAAAAAAGACTTCCACTTTCAGGTGCTCCCTTTTTTTCTGGAGAAAGCTTCAAGAAGAATCAGTCAAGGCATTGGTGGTGTTCAGAGAATCTGGGAAGAACCCCACAATGTCCCACCAGCATGCACTCAAGCTTGGGAATTTCAATCACAGATTACTAACACCATGGACTATAGCAGGACTTTGCAAATGCAATGACTTTTTGCAGTCAGACCTGAGCTCATGCTGCTGCTTCAGGGCACACGATCTAACTCCTAAGTGCATCTTTTTCATTGACATTTATTGATCACCTCCTTCCCAGCATGAGCAGGGGACTATAGACTTACCTAACTGCTCAGTGCAACAAAGCAGTAATTTCTACAGAGCTTAAATTTGGAAAATCATTTTTAAAAACATTCAAGTTGAGCTTCATCCCCTGAGAAAGTTTCCCATTTGCCATAGGCAACTGTAAGAGTGATGCTGCAATGATATGCCCACAAATTATTTAAGAGAATAATCTAGATTTATTCACATGAGAGTGTCTGTGAATAATTCTGAATAATGATGGCAAGAGTGGAATGCTAATGCAGAAGGCAAAATGAAATTAGAGCGCAGCACTCATTAAGGAATCTTCTAGTCAGGGCTAGATACGCCACTTCAATTAGCTGGC